TAAACTGAACAATTTAAATGTGACTAAAGAAATATATAATATAGATAATTATGTTAAAAATATAGAATATGTTAGCATATAAAGTTGAATACTATTTGATTTTTTGACTTGAGTATTTGAATTTTTTCAATTTTTTGACTTTTGTAAAAAGTATTTTGTATTTTTTTTTATTATATTTTTTTAGAATTGGGATTTAAAAATTAGTTTGGGTGAAGAGACCGATTATGTACGCACAATTACTACTAATTAAGGATGTGTTTGTACGGGGACTTAATTTGGCAGTTTTAAATAATAAAAATTTAAATTTTAATAAATATGGAATGTAATATAAATAAGTATTGTTGTAATATTTAAAATAAAAAATTATTTTTAACTAAAAATAATAAAAAAATAAATATTTTCTCTATCTCAATACAATAGTCTTATTTATTATTCTTATCCCTTCCAAAGCAATAGTTTCATTGTAAAATTATTCCTACTTTTTCATTATCATTACACAAATTATACTACTCTTACATTAATATACTCACAATGACAAAATAAATTTTACTCATACTTTTTACTAATTATCAATATAATATTATTATTCTTTTACTTTCATGCCCAATATAAATATAATTTTTGGACGAATGTAGTATTTGATTTTATTGAAAAATACACATCTAAAATCCTCTCGAACCACCAAGTAAAATGTCAATTGTCAAAGTAAATGTACAACTATTTTATGAACCATACATAAAAAAGCACAACAATAATCATGTGTTAAACTCATAGTAATAACAACATAATTTTAAAAGTAATAAATGAAAATGTATTCAAAACAATAGAAAACATGAAATATTTGTTAACGTAGCGCTGTTATAAAAAAATTTATATTTAACATATCAATCGATGAATTATTGTGCAAACACTCAAATAATGTACAATAATTAAATCCATTATCCAAAAACTTAGGGTATCACTACAAAAAAATAATATATTTGTAACGGAATTACGTCACTAAAGTTTGTCTAACTAACGTAATTTCATTCCTAATTCTGTTTCTGATGTCATTAGTAACGGAAAAAATAGATTAAGAGACAAAAAAAATTTTGTTACAAAAATAATTTTTTCTTATAGTGTATGTTTCTTCAACCCAAGTTTGGACAAAATTACTGTGCAAACACTCAAATCATGTACAACAATTAAACCAATTATCCAAAAACTTAGGGTATGTTTCTCCGGCCCAAGTTTGGGTGTTTGCATAGTAATTTTGCCAAAACTTGTTTGGTTTGGGGGAGGGTGGGTCTGACCTCGGGTGCTGTTTCTTTTTTTTTTTTAGTTTTTTTTAATTATAAATTTAAAAAAAATTATAATAATTATAATTGAATAAAATATATATAATATATGTGTCATTTTATAGAGAATAAAATTTTATATCATACAAATAAATAAAAATTTATAAATATATATGTAGATTAAAATAAATTTATAATCAAATTAATACACATTTATATTCTTATATTCATTACCATCAAATCAATACACATTAAAACTCTCCAAACTCAACTCAAATCACGAAAGAAACACATAAATCCAAACTAACTTCAAAATTCAAATAAAAATCAAATTCAAATCCAAATTTCCCCGAAATCCCCTGAAAAAACACACCCTTACACTCAGGTTCATTTGAAGCTTCTACTTGAGATATATATGAATTAATAATCATATGTTACATTTATGGTTTGACTTGTACATCCACAAAATATAGCTCTCAAATATCAACATATTCACTTATTCCCTACTCTTGGCTATGTTTCGCCATCGATATGTTTATGTACAATCTGATTTGCCGCGTGGTTGGATATAGATTCTATTATGAAGCAAAAAACTTGCCAATTACAAAAAATATAGTATATTTGTAACGGAATTCTGTCCCTAAAGTTTAAATAGCTAACGTAATTTGTTATTTTATTTTTTGAAAATATAATTATACATTTTAATCCTATTTTAAATTTTAATTTTAAAATTTTTTTATTTTTTATTAAATTATTTAGTTATATTAATTTTAATTTATAATTATTTTTATTACACAATAATTATTTTTACTAATTATATTTTATTTAAATTTCCAGCATTACAGTAATCCACCCATATTAAATGGACGCAAGGAATAGTATATATAAACAGTAAAATTGAACTGTCATTAATTACCTCTATGGATGGGCTGTAAAGTTGGGCCTGATGATCGGGCCCGGTCTTCAATATTTGGGGGCCCATATGAGTTCAAAGATTTTGTTCATGCACCCGCACCGCACGTGACTTTTCGGCCATATGTTGGTTGTTTGTAATTTGTAGGGCATTCGTATTTGTTTTAAGGTTTGGTTTATGTGATTAATTTATCCAAATTTGAATGTGGAATAAAATAAAATAAAATAAAAAATTGTAGTAATAATATTTAGGGAAAAAATCAATTTTGGTCCTAATATAACTAAAATTCAATCTTGTTTTACAAATAATAGAAAGGTGAGAAATTTTGATAAAGAACACATTGTTTGAATTTTGAGTCGTAAAAAAATTGAATTTACTCGTTCAATATATTATAGTAGTCGGAATAAAGTATAAGTAATAAATTTTTTACCCTTGTGAATGTGTTTTAATTCAAAAATAAAAAAATAGTGATATTTATATAATAATAATAATAATAATAATAATAATAATAATAATAATAATAATAATAATAATAATGAAAGATAATTTTACGAAGGTATGATTATTTATGAAAATAAGATTATTGTTTAAAAACAAACAAAAATAGTAAAACGTGATTATTTATGAAATTGAGATGGATAAAGTATAATATAAAAAATAAAAATAAAAGTTTTCATTTAATAATTTCTTAAGAAAAGATGGCTAAATAAAAGTCTTGTAAACAACCCAAAGAAACCTAACAATATTTAGATATTTGGTCCCAAAGGAAATAACCTAATGCTACAATAAGATATGATTTGCCTAGTTGTTTAGTATTTTCAAATTTGAAATTTAATTTGTTTTTTTTATACATTAATATGAATGTAATATTTTATTATTTTTTTATATATAAATAATACTATAGTTATACAGTAATCAAATTCTAAATAAAGACATCTGTTCCCAACCAAACATAACACCATTTATAGTTAATAATGCTATTTATATTTTCCAATAAAAACAAATACTATTTATATTAAATAAAAAGAAAGTTACAAATATTATTTGATAATTTGAGCCGAGAAGAACATTAGACGAATCATATATGACAGGTGATCTGAAGACGTCAGGGGTTTGGACCCCCGAACCTCCACACCACACTAGTAAGTTATTCTTTTTTTTTTATCTTCATGTATTTTGGCTGACATATTTAGTTTTTTCCCTCCTTCTTTCTTACGTCTAAACGTAGCGATGAATTGTCCAAGCCTTTGTTGCGAGTTGCAATTTGTATGGCTCTTTATGTTTGGTTTATGATTTTGGTGGAGCTATTTATACCGACGTTTGTTCTAGACATGTGTTAATTATTGTGTGTTTTTTGTTATATTTTTCCGTGATTTTGTTTGAATCTATGCTTTTTCCTGATGTAGATGTGGATGATTGACTATTTAATGTGTCTGTTTTTTTTTTTCGATAGGATATATGTTTGAGTGTTTTTTTTTTCTTTTTTGCTTTTATTTTACTAAAAATCTAATGTTTAAGAAGTTGGATGATATATTGATGTCATATACACACGATCGACTCATCCGAATTGAAGCTTGGACCTGGCAACCACTGCCCGACCCGGTCTTTGTAAGATCATCGGATCAAGGGGGTGTTTGACAATTAACTGTTAACTTATTCGATTAGCTGTTATGCGTTAACTTATTCGATTAGCTGATTTGACTACCAGATCCAGTTAATTATTATTTTTAATAAATATTATGATAAAAAATAATATTCCCTCCGTCCCAATAGAATAGTCTTGTTTACCATTTTTGTGTCTCTCGAAACAATAGTCTTATTTTCATAAATACCCATATCACCATAAAATTATCCATATTTTTTCATTATTATTACACAATTACTACGACTTTTTACACTATATACTTACAAGGGATCGTAAAGGATGGTCTGGTGGTGTAGGGGTTGGACTTGTGACCGTGAGGTCATGGATTTAAACCCCCGACCAGAGTTGACCTGGAATACAACTATTTTTTAAAATTAGTTTGAATTTAAAATAGTTGATACCATTAAAATGGACAAAATCAATAGTAATCATAATATAATTAAAATTTATCATTTTAATAAAAATAAAAATTTATAAGATATATTAAATATATTTTTTGAAAAATTTTGTCTAAAATTCAATTATTCATAACAAAATATTCCTCTTATAAACATCCAATTACACAACTATTTTTTAATTTTGCATATTATAATAGTATTAAAAAGTTAATTAATTATTTCAATACAATAATTGGATGTTTGTAAGAGAAATTTTTTTTATAAATAGTAGAACTTTAAACAAAATATTCCAAAAGAATATACTCGATAAATATTTATATTTGAACTAATTTTAATTATATTATGATTATTATTGTTTTTTCCATTTTAATTATATTAACTATTTTAAATTAAAAAATATATATAAAAAATATAACAAAAAAAAATATTTTAGAACGAAACAAAAATGTACAGCCGTGTAACAACATATTCATATATAATTATACATTGAAATATATATATATGACCCATGTAACAATATGATCGTGTATAATTGTAATAACTGCATAATAATATTATATATTGAGATATACATGACAACGTAGCAATATTATGACGGTGTATAATTCTACGTATAATTGTACATGATGATGGGCGTGTAGTTTTCCATCAACAATTTCCGTTTTTTTTTTTGTTTTGGATATTGGATCAAAATTAATTTTTTTTTTTTTTTAAAAAAAACATAATAAACAAACCAAAAAGAGAGAGCTTCTAGAAGGGACGGTTGGAATGGAGCTCATCAGCGTACTGTAATTACACCAACAGTGTTCCTAATTCCATAATTTTCTAGGGTTTTTTGTCCAACTGCTTCATCTCCATCAACAACAATTGAGCTGAAATTCGCAATTTGAGGCTGGAACGTGACAACACGAAGACGGAATATGGCTGTGCTAGAGGATTCTGAGCTAGAATCGAAATCGCAGAAGAAAAAACCACTTTCCGAAGATGAAAAAAGGCATCTTGCTTTCGCTCCCTGTTTTTCTTCCCCAATCAATTCTTATTCATCCTTCGTTCTGAGTTGATTGAATAATAATATTCTGTAGGAGAAAGAAAATCACACCAGGTAGTTTGATGAAAGCTTTGGTAAGACCTGGAGCTGCAGACAAGGCACCTTCTGATGGTGATCAGGTTCATTATTGTTTTGATAGACATTGATTCTTGTTGCCATGTGGAATTCGATATGTCTCTGAAGGACAGAATTGATGTCTGCAGGTTATATATCACTGCACAATCCGTACACTTGATGGAGTTGTTGTTGAGTCGACACGGGCAGAGTTTGGAGGTGAGGTAGATTAAGAAATTTGTGAGATGTTCTAGAGAGTGAAGGACAGTTCATCAGGAATATGTAGAATTGGATGAGAGTAGGATTGATTGAACGGATAGTTGTTCGATTGCATTGTTTGGCCATGGAATTACTTGTACGGTTCATTTAAAAATATCAATTGAATTAGCTTGTCGCCGGGTAAATATTATGCAGTTAGTGTTCTATATTATCAGCTGCAGCTGTTTATCTAAATCTGTGAAGCATTTGTCTTTGCATTGGATGCTTTTATACTGTTAGGCTTTGTAAAATTTTTTTTCTTAAGTAAAAGTCTGTTTATTTGTAGGCAACGGCGTCCCGAAAAGGCAAGTTTTGGGTAAAAGCAAGATGATATTGGGATTGTTAGAAGGCATTCCGACAATGTTTCTTGGTGAAGTTGCTGTGGTATGCTCTTGGAACTTGTTTTTTCCGTAAAATAGTTCCAGGTGCATTACAACATTGTTTAGTTTATTTCTTTGTAAAGTAACTATAAATCAAGTGCAGTTTATGCGTGGTTGTCATACGAGATTCCTAGCCCTTCTTCTGTCTATATTCATTGGTTTCAAACTTTAAATGATGCCTATTTCTTTTCTCGTTATCATTTGTATTCAGATAGATACACCTAATATAGTGCCTAATTCAGAATAAGTATGTGGAATGATAAACCAGTTGTTAGTTATAAAATTAACCTACAGGTATCCTAGAGATTTTTTATAGTGGGTAAAAAATTCCCGCGAGCAAAGAATTGAACAAATTGGAATGAAATTGTAAGAAGATACATAGTAGAGAGTATGTATATTGATCAAACACAATGATGGTATTCAATCCATATTGGTGATTCCACCTGGTGGGGTTAGTTTACTAATGCTACCTTCATTTCAGTTCAAGATGAAACCTGAGCTGCATTATGGTGAGGAGGGCTGCCCCGTTTCAGTTTCTGGTAGCTTCCCCAAGGATGACGAACTTCATTTTGAGATTGAGTTGATTGATTTCTCCAAAGCCAAGGCAAGAATGTTAGATTCATTCTTACTAATTGGATATTAATGGTTTGATTAAACAGCATAATGAAACTTCTCACTGTCTCCCTTATGTAATATTGTAATCAAATTCATGATCTATTACTACTTAGGGAAATAGATCACTTGCATCTTATTTCTGCTAAAAGTATCGCACTCAAGAACCTTTAAGTTGTTTTTTGTTTTTCACTTATATTTCACTTTGTACTGCTTTTTCTACAATATCATTTTGACATAGTTTGAAAAACTTTCAGGTGGTTACTGAAGATTTGGGGGTTATAAAGAAGGTGATGTAATAAACTATTCATGCATGGCTGTATTTAGCCAATTTTTTCACTTCCACTCTCCCATGGAATTCAGCTACTCTTACCAATATAGCTCCTACATCTTATTCCCTCTTTTACTTTAGTTGTTTCTACACAAATTCATAAGTTCTACAATTTTCCTTTTTATTCTAAGCTAAAAGTAGTATCGAAGCAACAAAGATAAACTTTGAATCCATTAATAGGTGAAGGAAGAAGGACAGGGCTGGGAACAACCCAGGGAGCCGTATGAAGTAAAAGTTTGGTATGAAAATTTCGCTTTCTATTAATGTCTAATGGTGCTTTTTCTTAAAGTAATTCTGAGATCAATATGAAGCAAACTTCATATTCCTTTTGTTAGCATTACAATCATCTCAAGGCCCCTTTCAATCTTTCAATTATACTTCCATTTGATTTCTATAGGATTTCAGCCAAGTCAGGAGATGGAAAAATGATTTTTTCACATACAGAAGGAGAACCCTTTATCTTTACGTTTGGGAAATCTGAGGTAAATGGATATATAATTTTTTCTTACAGCACCGGGTGTATTGTTTATGCAGATTCTTTATGATGAATCTGAGGTAAAGAATATACATTTCAGCTCCTATTATTGTTCTTTCTGAACCACAGATTCCAAAAGGTCTTCAGATGGGAATCGGGACAATGTCGCGTGGAGAAAAGGCCGTAATTTATGTCATGAAGGAGTATTTATGTGAGTGCCCTATCATTCCCTCCCTTACAGGCATCACTGAAATCCACTTTGAAGTTGAGCTGGTACACTTTATTCAGGTAAATTTTACTTGTCTTATATATGGTTTTATTGGGAACGGGAAATTACAGTCATTAACTGTACGTTGAGGTAAATATTAACTTTAGGAACCTTGCTAGCTTATCATGTTTGAATCAAGTGACCGTTCTTTTTCAATTATATTCTTGAGGAATGATTACTTATCAGCTTGGTACAATTTTGCTGGTCGAGAGAATTATTATTTATGTAATGGCTATGTATTCTTAGGTCCGGGATGTTTTGGGAGATGGGCGACTAATAAAACGCCGTTTACGTGATGGAAGAGGTAATCTCAATCTCTATATGTTCAGCCATGATTACCAATAGTGCATCTTTCATTCTAGTCTTGTATTACCAATGCCATTAAATTCCAAGTGAACCTATTTATGTTGACAAGTTATACAAAAAATATAGGAAGAAATGCCATGGAGTATATGTATTATAAAAATCTTGGTATCATATACTGTTTATGAAACCTATGGTACTATGTGATACCTTATTTTCCTAGTAACAAAAAGTTTCAGACTTTCTCCTTTACTTAATACTATATTTTATTTCTTCCAATTTATCATTTTGAATTTTTCCTAACTATAACTTAAACTTTCTGTTCCTACTGGTAAATCATCTTTACCATTGCCATGCTAAAATTTGGGCTATGCACTTTTCTTTGTACTCGAATAATTAGGTGAATTTCCAATGGATTGCCCGCTACAAGACAGTCTGTTGCAAGTACATTACAAGGGTATGCTTCTCAATGAAGAAAAGACCATTTTTTACGATACACGAGTTAATAACAACGGTCAGCCTTTTGAGTTCAGATCAGGAGAAGGCCTTGTAAGCCTCGTTTAATACTTGTAACTACTTTTGGAAATAATATTTAAAAATAAAATTAATATTCCAACTTCTGCTCGATATATGTTTGTTATTTCCCAGATTTTTGGATTTAGATCTGTTGGTAGGGAGTGGCTGAAGCACACTGTCTGAAATGGTTGATGTTTTTAATTGTTTTTGGCTTCCAGTATATTATGTCGTTAATATTTGAAAATTTTCTGATGCTAGGTACCTGAAGGGCTCGAAATGTGCACCCGATTGATGTTGCCTGGCGAGATAGCTTTAGTAACATGCCCCCCTGATTTTGCTTACGACAAGTTTCCACGGTTAGCTCTAGTTACTGTACTAATTCATGAATACTTCACACGTTTGTTGCCATGAAAAAAAATAATGTTATGAGAACTTGGTTGCTCAAGATATTTTGTTGCTGAACGATTCTTATTTTTTTCAATTGTTGTATTCTCTTATTATATGAACAGACCAGCAGAAGTACCTGAGGGTGCTCATGTCCAATGGGAGATCGAACTTCTTGATTATGAGAAGCAAAAGGTGTGTATATTTTAGATTTCTTACGATTATTTATTTTAATTTGTCCTCATGCATCTTGTTGCTGATTGTAACTCATGGTGCAGGATTGGACTGGTTTCAACTTCAGAGAAATAATGGACGATGTCGAGAAGATTAAAAGCACGGTATCCGAAATCATACTACTCTTAAAAAACTTCCTTTATAATGTCATGGTTTTTCCAAGACATAAAGATTAGGGAAGGAAATGCTTTTGGATTAGGGATCACAATCATGGTGACACAAATAAGTTCCTGTCTTGTTTATTTCAGGGAAACCGGTTATTCAAAGAAGGAAAGTACGACCTTGCTAAGGCGAAATATGAGCATGTACGATTTCTGAGTTCTCTTGATCTCGTCCGATGTGTTATAAATATTTATTCGAATTGGTGGTGAGCTTTCAGGTTCTACGGGAATTCAATCATGTTAATCCTCAAGATGACCAGGAGGGTAAAGAGTTTTCAGATACAAGAGTAAGTATTAGAAGAAATTAGCTTTGTTTATAGTATAAGATATTGTTCACGGTGCTAATTCTTTTCTTTATTGCTCGGTTAAAGAATTTGTTGAACCTAAATGTGGCTGCCTGTTGGTTGAAATTGGGTGAGTTCAGGAAGTCGATAGAAGCCTGCAACAAGGTATACTTCATTTCTTGTACCAATCTTTCATGGACTTTAGTGTTCGTGTACACGAACTTGAGTTGTGTTCGCTCAGGTGTTGGACACGAACCCGTATCACGTTAAAGCTCTCTACCGACGTGGAATGGCCTACATGGATGCTGGAGATTTCGAAGAAGCCAGAGCTGATTTCAATCAGGTACGGCCTCATTTAGTTGTGAGCTTCCATTTGCTGACTGTGTTTCCCCTTACAATCAATCCGACACAATTGATGCTTCCAGATGATGACTGCTGATAAATCGTCGGAGCCAACGGCAAAGGCAGCACTTCTTAAGCTTAGGAAGGAAGAACAGGTCAACAGCGAAAATAAGCTACGTTGTATTCATTTGCACTACAATCTAACCAAAAAATGATCATATGATACAACATGGTTTACACAGGAACTCCAGCGAAGAACCCGTCAACAGTTCAAGGGATTGTTCGACAAGAAACCCGGTGAGATTTCCGAGGTGGGCAGTCGGGATTCAGGACAAGAAGAAGAGGATCCCGACAAAATTCGTGAAGCCGGTAAGGATGAGACAGAAAAGGAGCATGTTCTTGAGGCTACTGAGCCTCGGTCGACCGTATGGTCCCGAATATGGCCTGCTGGGAGAAGACTCTTTCATGCCTTTGGGTTGGACAAATGCACCATATTGTGATTCCAATGCTTTGGAAATAAGGTCGGTTTTATAGTTTCTTTGTTTGTTGGTTTTTTAAGGAAAACAGATTTCTACATAGAAATATGGAGAAGAAATAACAAAATTGTACCGAGAGATTAATTATATATAGGAATAGGAATTGGAAGTGAAAAATGTGATTTATATTGGTGCCAAGAATTGTGGGTTCTGATTAAATAAATAAAAAGACTAGTTATGGTGCTGGTTAGGTTTGATTCGCACCATGTTGATTAGCTCTAAATAATATTCCCTCCGTCTGTCCCTGAAGGACATATTTATATTTTGGTATTTAATATTAAAAATATTTATCAGTATTATAAGAAGTTAATGAAAGTATTTTTGTAATTTTTTTTAATTGATACTATATTTTGATATAATAATTAATATTTAAATATCAACACGCAAAAAAGTAAATGAAACCTTTAGAGTCGGACGAAATAGTGCTCCACAATTCCTAGACACATGAGAATTCACTAGCTGATCGACAACATAAGTTAGTAAGAGTAAGAGTAAGAGCCTTTTTTTTTTTTTTTTTTTTTTTTTTTTTTTTTTTTTTTAGTGAGAGAAGAATATGGTTTATTATTATTTGTTTATGCAAAACTGTGAAGGTATTTATTAATAATGTATGTATTTTGTAAGTTTGTGACTTGGTAGGATTTTTAACTAATATTATAGTACTCATAGTTTAGTAGATACTCTATATCCACAAATTATGTTCATGTTGTTGTCTAGGTATGTTCGATATCTTATGTTACTTTCTTTTTTTGAAAAAAAATAAAAATTTATTGATATTAATTGTATTTTAAATGTTTTAGTTTATTTTTTTTTGTTTTAATTATATTAATTTATTATTTTAATTTTAAGTTATAATTATTTTTACTACTACATTCTAAATTGTTTATTAATCACACCCTTCTTAATATCACATGTCTACAGTAATTATAACATATATTGTACATGTGGGCCGGATGGAGTATTATTGAAGTTATACTAAGCAGTAATAGTATTATTGCTATAACTCGTAGTATTAACACTATTAGCTTGCATGGGTAACATATAATTTTTTTTTTTTTTTTTTTTTTTTTTTTTTTTTATCATGACTTTTTACGTACAAAGACAATAAGGACTTTCAATAAAAAAACTCCTATCTATACACTAAAATGATGTAAGTTTGTTCGGATACGGAAATTAAAAATAATTATTTCCTATGTCCGTCTCTAAGGATCCATTTATCTTTTGCATAATTGTACTTAATATTAAAAATATCTTTATATTTGTATAATTTTTTGTGCAAATGTCTTTTTATCAGTATTATAAGATATTAATGAAAGTATTTTTGCAATTTTTTCTTAATTTGTACTACATTTTGATATAATAATTAATATTTAAAGACCAACATACAAAAAAGTAAATGAGACTCGTAGAGCCGAACGGATGTAGTATATTTTAATATTACAATAGATAGACAAAAAGTAAATTGAATGTATTATGGAAAAAATTATTAAATGATTGATAGATTATAATGGAGTAAGTAGAAAAAGTAAAGACAAACATGTTATTATTTGTTCAAATAAAGATAATATTATGGACTGATAAAATTGTTTATTATATATAAATTGCACATAAATTTAGAAAGATATAATTTCTGCTTTATATATATAATCAAAGTATGGAATATCAAATGCTCATTATTCTCCTTCATACGTCTAATCAAAATATAGTTTACAAGCAGGGGAGGAGTTACGTGGGGACTCGGAGGGTCCGCCGCCCCCGGGAAGAAGAAATAAAAATTAAAAATATTTAATTAAATATTTATTTTTTATATACTATATTATAAAAAATTAATTTACATTAAAATATTATATCAAGATATATTTTATATTACAAATATTTATTTTAATTTATATTTAAAATGTTTATATTACAACAAGTTTTTATTTAATTATATTTAATTTAAATTATATTATTGTATAATAATTAAAAATAAATAATAAACTTTGCCCCAACTCAATTAGTTTGTCTCTGCCACTATTTGCATGTTATTAAGTTCAACTAGAGTTATTTTGGATTCCACATTATCAATACACACATATATATATATATATATATGAAAAATTACAAAATATTGTATTTATCTCGCTGGCAAAACATATCCTACATGTTTACAAAAATCGTTATTTCTGTCATTTGACGCGGCCAAAAGATAAAAATAACGACTTTTGCAAAAATGTAAGATATATTTTACTATCAAGATAAATGCATAATAAATGTGATAATAGAGTATATTTTTTACAATTTTCTCTCTATATATAATTTTCAATATCCACATATTTTACTAGCATCAAGATCCACAAACAAGAACTACTCTCTTGAAAATAAAACTCAAATGCTCATTCTTTTCCTTAATACATGATTCCTCAAAATCCACAAACAAAAATTACTTTTTGAATGCATATGATTCTCTAGTGAAATAATAGTCATTACAAATAAGAACCTAGCTATATGAACTTAGGGTCTATTTATTTAGAATGAGTTTGGCCAAACCCACTATTCACGATACCGTTTAGATCGAAATAGACAGCTAAATCAAACTCTATTATCCTTTTAAAGATACCTACTATACCTACTATATAATGGATTGATTGGTTTTGTCCAACCATAACACATGTTGTTTCGCACGAACTGTGTAGCTTGCAACAAATTAATTATTGAATTATTTTAATAATTAAATTTTCATAAATTATATATATAATATGAATATTATTTTGTAAAAAATAAAATTTGATATAGTAAAAAATAGATAAATAAAATATAAATATTTATTTAGGGTTAATATAAACTAATACCCAAATCACATCATTATATTAATTTTATAAATTTAATTTATATATTATTATATTTATTAACTATCAAATCAATACATATCAAAATTTTAAAACTCAATCAAACCTAATTAGAGGAACACAAAAATTCAAAATTTATCGTAAAATTTAAATCCAAACCAAACCAAACCAAAATCCAATTTTCTCAAACTCCCTTAAAAGAAACACATGGCTTCGTACCTTTGTCTTTGGAAAACCTAACAATCATTCTTAAAAAATTGATTTTATTTTATACTGGATTATACTTATAATTATATACTTGGGCGTCACTCCAGTTTAACTTCGTGATCCTTCAATCCCTATACATATAATTGGTAAAAAAAAAAAAAAAAAACATAGTTCAAAAATTAGACATAAGTACTTAGGTCATATAAAAATTAATATTTGAACCTTAAAACTAAGTTCGAAAAAATCTGGCGCATGGTCTTTGAAAATTGGGCCAAAATAATTTATTAAAAATAAAAATTTAAATTTAAATAATTTATAAATTTATAATAGAATTAAAATTAAATTACATACTTTATATTTAAACCTAAGAAGCTCAATATATATTTGGTAAAACAAAGAATTATTAATAAAAAAAATTAATTTTTAATTATCAATATAAATATGCTTTACTCTAATTGTATTTATTTAAATTAATATGATAGAAAAAATTAACTATATGAATTTGAAACAAAACTTGAATGTATATCATAATTAATCTGGGTCTCACCTACTTAGCCTAATACAAGATATTATGAAACGAATTACTTGTACAAAATATCATATTAAAAATATTATTTAAATTAAACTTAAATCAAAACCTTAATTTATGAAATTAATTAATAATTTCTATTTTATTTCTCTTTAATAAATAAATATATACATAAGGATTACCATGCCGATTTGAAAAATAAAATTATAGTTCTTACTCCCTTCGTCCCAACTCAAAGTACATTTTTTACCATTTTCGTCTGTCTCACTCCAAAGTAATTATACATTAATACCAAAATACCCTTAATTTTTACCTAAATTAAAAATATATAATTACACATACAATTACTTTTTACATAAAGTCAAAGGAAAAAAATGTCAAAACATCTTACATACTTCTATTAATTAATAAAATACTACTATTTCTTAATCTACTACAAAACTCCAAATTACTCATTTGGACAGGGACGGAGGGAGTATATTGTATTTCTATTAAGTTAATATAAATGAATTGTGTGCGGTACACTACTTCCTTTTGTAACTGGTCGGATGGTTCATTTTCGAACATCTTCCCGTCGGCCTAGCAATTCTTTGACACCTCGAGAACTTGCTAGTACAGCCTCGCTCGCAACTTCAAAGCACACTAGAAAGCATGAACAATGCAAGATGTACCCGGCAGAGTAGACTATTTATTAGCTCTCTATAGACTAAAGTGAAGTACAACTGAGGAGTCATCATCTATATATAGACACTCTAACGGACCGAGCCTAACACATGCCAAAGTATAACCACATTCGGATAGACTATATCTATACAAGATACGGGTAAAGGTAGCTATATAAGAAAATACGGATAAAGTATGTCTAATTGATAAACACCAACTCGGTCAAATGAGGATCTCGGTACTTCTAGAATATTTCGGAATATTCTAAGAAATTCTGGAACATTCCGGAAAGTCTGGAACATTCTGGGAGGTTTTGGAACGTCTCGAAGGATCTCTGCTAGCTTCTCTGTGTTTGCGCGTTGCAGGCCCCTCCTCGGCGCTCCTCTGCATTCTCCTCGGTATTACTCCCTCCTCGGCGCTTCTCGGTATTACTCCGTCATTGGTGATCCTCGGCATTCTCTTCTGCATTGCTCCCTCCTCGGCGCTCCTCAGCAGTCTCCTCGGCATGGCTCGGCCAATGTTTCGGTCCGAGACATTCTCCCCCACTCGAACTAGACATTGCCCTCAATGCCCCAAAATCTCGGATAAGCTTCTCAAACTGCCATAAGTCTTTCGCTGGCTCCCAACTCCTCTCGGACTTAGGTAGTACACGCCATCTTACTAGGTACTCCGTCGACGGTTGTCTATTCTTGCGTCGGACCACCCTATCCGCAACAATCTCCTTGGCCACTTTGTCATATGCCGTCCGCATTCTTTGGGGTGCCCTCGTCGACTCATTCCGGCTCGGATCCTAAACATCCTCACGATATGGCTTCAATAGACTGACGTGGAACACAAGGTGGAGCTAGGATAGAGCCTCTGGAAGCTCGACCTTGTGTGCCACCTCACCAACCCTCTTTCGCACCGGGAATAGGCCTTCATACCTCCGCATGAAGCCCTTATGCACCCCTCAAACACGGCCGTGTTGGTATAGCTTTATGAGCACCATACCATCTTCTTTGAATTCTCGAAACACCCTCTTCTTGTTGGCTCACTTCTTCATTCTTTTATGAGACTTCTCCGAGTAAAGTCGGGCCACTTCTGCACGATCTTGCCAACACTTGGCAAAGTAGAACATTGGCGGGCTCGGACCTTTGTATGTTTTCACCAAATCCTTCGGTGTTGTGGGCTGGAAACCCAGCACAATCTCGAATAGACTTTTTCTCGTACTCTCGTTCTTTTGAAAATTTTAAAAAAGAAAAAATGCGCAACATCAAAGAGAGAAGCCCAATTCACTTGATTTACTGTGACATAGTGCGGAAGGTACACTTCCAGCACATGATTGATATGCTCTGTATGTCCATCGGTCTGGGGGTGCATCATCGTGGACATCTTCAACTCTGACCCCAATAAACAAAAAAGCTCCATTCAAAACCTTCCGGCGAACTAGTAGTCTTGATCATTGATAATACTTGCTGGCAAGCCCAAATACTTGACAACATGATCCATAAACAGCTTGGCCGTCGTCTTTGCCGTACACTTCTTCGGTGCGGGTATGAACTCAATGTACTTTGACAACCGATCCACCACCATAAGGATACTCGTGCAGCCCATGGGCTTTGACACCCGACAATAAAGTCGATAGAGATGCTCTCACATATCCTCCTAGGTATCGGCAAGGGCTGCAGCAATCCCGCGGATGGTTGGTTCTCCACCTTATCTTGCTAACATATAAGGCACTTCCCGACATATTCCTTCACGTCCCCTTCATGCCCGGCCAATAGTAGCGTTCTTAGAGGAGGGCCAAGGTCCTTTGAACGCCTGGGTGTCTAGCATACTTGGTGTCATGATATTCTCGCAGGATATCTCTCAAGTTCTCCCATTTTGGTACGTACATTTGATAGTCTTTTGTCACGGCAAAGCCATCCTCCAGAGAATACTCTTGAATCCTCCCTTCCTCGATCTGCCTGAAAACCTTCCCATCAGGCTAGAAATTCCTCGAAATCCTTGAGAACCTGCTAGTACAGCCTCGCTTGCAACTTTAAAGCACGCTAGAAAGTAAGAACACTGCAAGATGCACCTGGAAAAGTAGAGTGTTTATTAGCTCTCTAGAAAATGAAGTGAAGACAACTGAGAGTCCTTCCCTATACATAGACACTCTAACGGATTAGGACTAACACAGGCCAAGGTATATCCACATTCGAATGGACTATATCTAGATATAGTTAAAAGTATCTATATAATGAAATACGGATAAACTATGTCAAATGGATAAACACCAACTCAGTCAAAGGGATCTCGATACTTCTAGAATGTTCCGGAATATTCAATGAGGTTCCGGAATATCCCGGAAGGTTCTGGAACATTTCGGAAGGTTCCGAAACATCTTGAAGGATCTCCACTAGCCTCTTTGTGTTTGCACGCCGTAGACCTCTTTTCGGTGTTCCTCTGCATTCTCCTCGGTGTTACTGTATCCTCGGCACTTCTTGGTATGACTCCTCGGCATTCTCTTCTGCATTGCTCCCTCCTTGGCGCTTCTCGGCAATCTCCTCAGTATTGCTCGGACATTTTTTAATAGGACCATTTCCAATTCCACCGAATACACAAACATTAGATAATATTTAATTATTTAATTTTTTATAATGTGTATATTAATAAATATATACTAAAAAATAGTTAACATAATTTAGATGTTATGTTTATATTTCTTATGTTCCGTAACTTCTGCTAGTTTTTATTCTCATATAAGATTGTAGTATAATTTAGATATTTTTGTCCCTTTGATTTATTATTATTATTATTTGAGTGTTTTTATAAATTAAAGAAATCATACATACAGAAGTTAGAAAAGTAAAGTAAAAATTCTTATATAAATATTTTAACATCCAAAATACATAAGATAAAATTAAAATAAAATAATAAGACACATATAGTATGGTGATCAAAAAGCATTGAAATTATCGTCCTAGTAATTAACATGATGTGCCATTACACACTAATGATATATAAAGATATTTTAACGACAATCATATACTGTATATATCGCTAATTTGTTTAGAATCAGGTAGCACCATAATAATCAATCCGATGAGATGGTCCTAATTTTAATTTATTTTATTATCGTGTATGTATTGGGTGGGTTGTCTTTCCTTGTATGAAAAGCCCATTTTTTTCACTAATTTAATTAACATAACTTTATTTTTCCACCACCAATAAAAATATATATATATATATATTCTTTAATAAATTTGACATACTATACATTATAAAGACCCTCATATTTATATTTATTTATACGAATATCAGTAGATAAAGTTAAAATATTACAAACAAATATTTACATAAAAGTACAAAAAAACAAATATATATCTTAGTATACAACAAATATAAATTTTTAAAATAGACGGAGGAAGTATTATTTAATATTTTTTGTCTCATAATAAATAATACATTTGATTAAGAACACGGTATTTATGACAATAATATTTAATTAGTTAATAATATTAAATTATGATATTATTTTATTATTTTTAATATAAATTGTATTATTAGTAATTTTAAAATAAAAATTACTATATATAATTAAAAGAAATTTAGAATGTATATTTAAATATTTAAAAGTTATATCTTAATATGGTATATGCAATATGAACCAACAACACTGTTACACAACACACTTATAATTATGAATCAACAACACATGTCTTTATTTATTGCATGAAACCTCTGTGTTAAAGTAAAATTTGTACGGAACACTCTCCTAGTCCAAAACCGATATTTAGAAATAAAGACCTAAGAGGTGTTATATAATTTACTCATATATATATATATATATATATATATACATTGCATTAGCTAGATCTTGTTTGTTTGTTTCCATATACCAAGTAACACTGCATTAGTTCATCCCCAAGAAACATATACCTATCTCAGTATTATAAAAAATGCTAGCCTCGTCAGAGCTGCAAAATAAAGTATCAATTCCTACGCCACAGAGAATACAAAATGAAGTAATGCTGGTGAGTAGGGTCGTCTCCACAGAGAACAGTAATAATTTAAAGACTCGGTTGAATAGAATTATACTAATATATATATATATATTTAATGGGGGTTTTTTGATTTATCACACTAATTTAAGGAGAAAATAAATTTGTTCAACTAAATAAAATAAAATGCAAGATTAGCGGTTTACCAAATATAATTAAACACTAGCATAGGCATGAATTTTTCATTCGGGATATGAAATTTGATCATCGACTAAAATTCAAATTCATCGACTAATTGTTCACAACCAACCTTTCCTTACTTTTTCAATAGCTAAGGTACGACCGTTAGTTATTTCTCTAATCGGGAAAGAATCCTAGGTACGACCGTAGTTTTCTAACTCGACAGCAGTAAAAACTAGAAAGACCCAATTCAATTTAACAAATTCCTACGAGGATTTGTTAAAAATTGATTTTAATTCTTCCCTAGAGTGTTCGTCTCTAGGTTGCTACGCCAATCGGAAAATTACACAATTACGTATGCCAATCCCCAATATAGCTATGAAATCCTAAATTGATAGGTGCGCAATAATCAATTCAAGATTTCTAAACTCATCAATTAGAAGAATTAAAAATACTCAACATCGATGAACACCAATTTAATCGAAACCAAGTCTCACAATTTCAATCCCGAAAATCAATTTATACCTACACTAGAAATGAAACTACTCGCAATCCATAGCAATTAAAAACACAAAATAAATCAAAGAGTTCATCATGCCTTCAAGTTTAAAAGAAATCGACAACAAACCAATTCTAGAAATTGAAGAAAAAGGTGCCCGGAAGTTCTTCTCCGTTGCTCTCGAAAGTTCCCTTTCCGTAGTGTTCTTCCTTCCTTCTCTTCTCCTTCAGAAAATGGGTTGTAATGGGTTGTAAGTGAGATCGTGGTAGAGAACGTGGTAGTCCCCTCTCTTCTCCTCTTAAATTGAAAATCGTGTCTCTTCAAGTCCACTTAAGATCCCCTTTGCATTTTAAACCAAACAATAATAAAATTGCTAATTACTCCGGAGGACCTTTTTGCAATTTTCATTTTTTCTGCTTCGTGATCACATTTAAGGACTTCTTGCGTTCTGCTTTTCTCTCATATATGCCCAAAATTTGCCAACTCCTCAACGCCAAATAGAAAGTTCAAAAACACATCATTAAGAGCATATATATACAAAATTCGCATCCAAAAACCGTCTAAAATATAGCAAAATATTTGTCCAATATCACATATATCAAAAAACTATACAAAACTTTTGGGCAGCGATTGCAGATTTTTATGTCATACCAAAAAAAAAAAAAAAAAAAAAAAAAAAAAGAACTGTGTTTATAGCTGATAAAAATAAAAAAAAAAAGAAAAAAAAAAAAAAGAAAGAAGAAACTGGTGTGTTTATACTAAACTAGCTAGTGTGATTCCAAAAGATTCACAAGAAGCTGATGATGTGTTTTTGTACTCTACTCAACTGCCTGCCTGCATATCAAATTTAACAATGAAGAAACATTATACAGAAAGAAAGAAACAGAGACAAATTTAAATATTTATTTTAAAATTTGCTAAAATATATTATTATAAACATATAGCAATCAAATTATTACTATGAAATTGAAATTTTCTATTTTATATTCATAGTGATATAAAAATTGTCTAAGGCAAGAATTCTAAAAATCTCTTAAACAAGACAAATGTATTAATTTTAAATATATTTTAACAATGACCAATAATAAAATTGAATTAATAAATTGAACTTTCGAATATTCCTTCCAACTCTTACCTAATCAAAACTTCTCAGAGTTGAAGCAGCTTCGCGTCGCTTCTTTGTTCTTGGGAACAATAATCGTGAGGACGCCACGATGCAGCGTGGCCTCTATTTGCCCATGCTTCGCATCCGTCGGCATAAAAAATTTGCAGAAACGTTTCTGTTTCAAGGTATTATTGGTTCCTCCGCTCAAAGAAAGCCCCTCGCCATCGATCCGCAAAACATTACCCTTACCCTTACCCTTGTTCTCTTTTACGGCAATTTTCAAATCTTCCTTTTTAAGACCTGAAACATCGGCTTTGAAGACGTAGCCGTTTGGGCTCTCCTTCTTCCACACGTCAATGCAAATCGGATTGGGACCATTGCTGCGACGGCGGCGGCGCCTGAAAAGGATGCTCTGAAAGATGCGTTGGGCGAAGAATATGATTTGAAGAAGACTCCAAATAAGACTCATGTCTATTGCGAAGCTGAAAAATTAGGGTTTAGGGTTTAGGCAGAGCAATATTACGAAATTATACAGGGCGAAGAATATAGAAACTTTAGGCTTTTATTATTATTATTATTATTATTTGTTTTTCTTTTTTTTTTTTATGACTTGAGAACGCACAACCGCTACCCAAAAGTGCGCATTAGGTAAACCCGGGCCGAATACCCTGCAAACCAGGTCCGACGGGGAAATCACACTGGGCGACCCGAGGACTTTGAACCCATGACCTCACGGTATTATTATTATTATTATTTTTTTTTTTTAATATTTAGTTTGTTTGGATTGAATTTTTTTTTTTATCAAAGTAGATAGGGTGTTTTTGATTTTTCTTTGAATTATTAAGTTGGAAGTTGCATTGAGAGTAATTCATTTAATGAAATATTTTATTTATGATATAAAATATATAAGATTAAAAAATTGAAAATATATTTTTAATTATTTTTTTATAATTATATTTTTAATATAATATATATAATATGAATATTATTTTGTACAAAATAAAATTTTATATAATACAAATAAATTAAAAATATAAATATTTATTTATAAAATAAATGAGGAGTTTAAATATATATAAATATATTTTTTTAAAAAATAATTGGGAACATAAGAGATTTAAACCCATGACCTCATGGTTATAACTCCACTCCACACCACTAAGTCATTTCTTACCAAACTATTATATTATCTATTTAATTAATACGAATATATCAAAATCAAAATGCAAAAGTCAAATGAATGCATTTGACTTGCACGGAGGGAATATATAAGACACAATTATATAATACGATAGCAGTGATTTGCTAAGACATACTCCTTCCGTCACTTATCAAATGGGTCCATTGGTGTTTTATAGTAATTAATAAATAATAGTATTTTATTGGTCAGTAGAAGTGGATAAAAAATTTTGACATTTTTGTCCATTTTGTATATAAAATAATTGTATGTTTGTAATCAAAGACGGACCTAAAAAATTTATTAACCGGTGGTACAATATATGAACTGAAAAAGAAAGAAGACGCAGTAGCGGCCACAATAGATGGAGGGGGAAGGCGCTGCGTCAGACAGAACTATTGTGATTTTTGTGAATGTGAATGAGTTTGAATTGTTTGATTAAGGTTCAATTTTTATATAAATAATATATATAATTAAATTAGTTTAGTTTTATAATAATACAAAATAATAATACTAGTATTAATAAAAAATATTGATATTATAAAATATAATAATATAATAATATTATTTTATATATTTTATAATTAATCAGTTTAATTGAATTGAATTTGAATTATTTTGATACTTGTGGTATTTTAAATTTTAAATAATTTATTTTTAAATTTTTTGATAACAATGTATTTTTAATTTTTATAGGGGGCACTGCAATTTTGACACGTGCCACTACTGGGCAGAACGTAGATCCGCCATTGTTGGTAATTTAGGTAAAAATTAATGGTATTTTGGTATTAATATATAATTATTTTTCTAAAATATGAAAAAAATATTTTGAAATATGACATACGAAAATGATAAAAAAAAAAAAAAAAACCTTGAATTAAGATTAAGGGAGTAAATTTCAATAATATAACATAATATAAGTGTGTATAAACAACATACGATTGAAAGACATACAACATACAATAGAAAAACAAACAACACACTAGAAAGATAAACCGTATGTAAAATAATATTAATATAATAGGCATTCAAAATATAACTGACAATACATTATATAAAAACAAAAAAAATAAATGATAGAGAAACAAACAAAACATACATTATGTTAACATAATATAAATATAACACATGAATTGACAAAACACATAGCATAATCTAACATATTACAATTGATTTCGATACAAATATATATATATATATATATATCAACGTAACACATATAGGTTTATTTAATACCACATTTGTTGATATATGTATTTTTTTTTGTTGATATAGTGAGTGAGAAAATCAACTTCAAACATAGTGAGATGATGTTTATGCGTGTCATTAGCATTAAAACAATTTGGATATAATATATCTAATTTATTCATTTACATAAAAATTAACAATTTAATATAAAATATTATTTGTTATAGTATCGATACACTTATTTATTTTTTAACTTAAAAAAAACCTATACCAAAAAATAATCACAATTTAAATTTAACAAATGAAATACTAATATCTTTGTCATAACTATTTTTAATAAAATTAACCAACTACTTAATCATAATGCAAAAATATAATAATAATAACATTTGGATCAACGAAATTTATGCATTTATTTTTATTTCAAATTAACTAAGCTCGCGTGATTTCAAGAAAAATATATGGTTATGTTCTTTCGAGGTGTAGATTTTGTGTTTATGATTTAAATAGTAAAAATTTTAAGTTAGAATAGTTGTATGATGTGATATAAATATGTATTGATGTGATATTTTGAATGTAAAATTAATTTTTTATTAGTATGATATAAAAATTTTGAAAAATAAATATTTAATTTGATATTTTTTTGGATAAAAAATTTAGTAAATTATAAAATTTTGGGTAAAAACCCTCACCATAACACACCCATGTGTAAACATAACCTAATCGCATGTGCGATTGTTTTGTTCTATAAGTCTTTTCTTCAGGGTTTTCTAAAAAAAAGACAAATATATATATATATATATATATATATATATGCTACAATGGTCTGCTTTGAGAGGCTAAAAAAGGAGAAGCCTTGGTTTTGGCTTGGTGCAGGCGACCGAGAAAACAAGTTTATTCTACGAAAAGGATATGTAAAAAAAATATAAAAACAAAGAAAATTAATGGGATCCACAACAACATCATCAATTTGAGACTTTTTGGTATTTGTCCACTAAACATGCTCTAAGGCTGGTGGATATCATGAGTATGTTGAAAACATATAAAAAATAATAATAAAAATTTGGATATTTGTAAATAAAGCCAAGATTATGGAGAAAACTTTATTCGAGTAAAAAGTAACAAAGTAAAAGTAAAATGGAAATTATGGTTTGTTTAGTATTTTGATTTTGAAGAATTTTATTTGAATGTTAGGTATAGAAAATCGTATCAGTAATTGTTGAATCCTAAAATTCAGACGCTCCAAGAGTATTCGTCAATTTTGTGGTGTGGGTTCCGTACTCCAAAGAGCCTTTTCATTGTCGGATTTGAAGGCGGCTCCGACGGTGGAGCCTATGCGGCTTCGAGCCTAAACAACTGATTTCGATGGATTCAAAATAAAATATACTAAAACTCGGATAAATCTACTGGAAAGCAAATAAAAGCATGCTGGAAACATAAATTAGCAAAAAAAAAAATAACAAAAGACTAGATGAATTGGAACATAATTGGATAATCGCCTAAAATCTACAGATAAACTAATAAAATGATAAAGTTGTAGAAGAGATGTGTGTTTTGTCGTCGTGTGTGTTGTGTGTTTACTATATTTATCTAAACATAAGCAACCACCCCTAGCTTCTAGGGAGAGTGGTGCAATTATTCTTTCCAACTCACTCAAACCGCTTAATAACTCCCTCTACTCAATTCTCAACCGTTGGATTCACTCTAATCGCCTTACAACACAAACACCCCCCCCCCTCAATTCTCAACTGCTGGACTCATGACAACTCCCTCCATTCAATTCTTAACTTTTGGATTTACTCTGAACCGCCTCAATTGCACTTGAACCGGTCCACGACTCACTCTGAACCGCCTCCATTGTACTTGAACCGGTGCACGACTCACTACGAACCGTCTCTGTTATACCTTAGCCGATTTACGGGGTTTCATCCCCAACTGCTTTGAGTTGTATGAAGTTTTCAGTTCTTTCTTATGTTGGCCTATCTCCAGGGGGTTTTCTGAATAAAACATGGAAGCATGTGGATCTTCCGTTGACTTTCGGTATAGAGCCGTTAACCTAGAGCCAATGGAAGTTGTTATTTTTTGCTCCGCGGAGGCAACAATCTTCGACTTTATAGAAGCATTGTTCTGGGATGAAGGCGTCATAGTCCAAGAAGTTGTTGTCCCAAGGTTAATGGATGTTGCTGCCTCAGGGTCCGTGGAGCCTGTTGCTTTCGGCCCTGTGGATGCAACAATCCTTTACTTTGCGGAGACATCACAGTCCAATGGAGGTTGTTGCTTTCGGCTCTATGGAGGCAGCAGTCTTTGGCTCTGCGTTCTGAAGCTCCATTGCTGTTGGGCAACTTCGTGGCCTGGGAGCTTCGGTTCTGTTTCGTCATCGAGTCTCCTTCATGTTCAGGTATTTTTGGACTCATGTCCAACAGTTATAAAAAATACTACCTCTGTCTGATTCTAAGGGTCTCATTTTATTTTTTGCGAGTTGATGTGTAAATATTAATTATTATATCAAAACGTACTATAAATTAAGAAAAGATTTCAAAAATACTTCTATTAGTGTCTTATAATACTAATAGAAGGACATTTGTACAAAAACTTATACAAATATAAGGATATTTTTAATGTTAAGTACAATGACGCCAAAGGTAAATGCGATCTTTAGAAGCGAACGGATGGAGTAATATTTTATATTGAATGTGGACTAAAAAAAATATATATATATATATATATAAATCGTGTGTCGAAGAGAAAAACTTGAGCAAACAAACCTAGAGACTTGAAGAAAAAAACACACACCTTAATGCTTTAAGGCATAACTAGTTATCTGAACAATTTCAATTCACCATCAAAATGTGTATTATGACTTAAAGTTATTTCTTCATTGAATCACATACAAAAAGATTAGACTATGAGTGCATATCACTAAAAAGGATATCGCTTTCACGAAAACAAGAACGAAAAATATTTACTTAGAATTATACTCACAAAATAGAGAATATATTTTTTTAAAAAAATAAAAAATAAAACATGACAAATACTCAACAAATTCATGGAGGAAACCAAATATCATACCCCATTCTAAAGCCATAAATAATCTTGCTTAAACT